GGCAGCACCCGTCGAAAATACCCCAATGAGTAATCTGCCTCTATCATCTGCCACGCCAAAGTCCGCATGGACTCCTCAAGTACAACCAGCATCAGCAGTTCAGTCTAATGCAATTGCTTCTCCTCAGATTATTTCACCTGGACCATCGGTTGTCCCAAAACCGACGCCAGATCAACGAGCACCATCTCAACCTGAACCATCAGCGGTTCCAAAACAAGCCTGGGCTTCAAGATTTTCTCCTCAATCGACAGCCTCGGTTACTCCGAAACCAGCAGCACAAAAATTCGAGCCATCGGCTATTCCGAAAGCGACAGTGAATCCCTTGTCTCAAGGAGCCTATCGTACTGATCGTGCTACCAGTGCATTTCCAATGGTAAGAGAATCGATTTCAAGTTTAACGACGAAGAATTCTGGTATTTCTTCGAGACAATCACGATCTCAAAGTGTTATCTCAAACAGAGGAGGAGGAGGAGGACGACGCCTTTTACTTTCCGCTGTCCCTGATACGGCCAATTTAACTCCAATGCTTCGTCCAGATGCGGGTGGAAGCAAAGGTCGACCGATCTCTATCTACACCAATCATTTTCCAGTTCGGATTGATTACGATGCAACGGTCAATCAATACGATGTGGAAATAATGTTGATTGATCAATATGGTAATCAACGTGCAGCTCGAAAAGATGAACGTTGGAAAGTAATGCAATTGATTGCTCAGAAAAAGAAAGATTTTCCTGCTGTTTGGTATGTCGAACTATTCCCTTTACCGATTCGATGATCGATGATGAACTTGAATTTTTGTTTAGGTACGACGAAGGTAAAACACTATATACGCGTGAATTATTATCAGACATAACAGAACCGATTCGAGTACCAATGGAACGAGATGCTCAAATGAGAACATTTCAATTGACAATCAAAAATCTTGTTCGACAGGAAAAGATGAAAAATATTTTGAAATTTGTCAATAAAGAACTTCACACTCGACCACGAGAAGCAGTTCGTGTTATTGAAACACTTTTCAAACAACGTGCTCGAAATGAGCTCGTCTGTGTTAAAAATCAATTCTACAATCGAAAACAAATGCTCGATGATCTTCGTAAAGTTCTTTCATCGATTTTCATTTTGATAGATATGAATGATCGTTTATTTTCATAGAGGATGGACGAGGAATGGCCAAAGGTTTTTATCAAGCTCTGTTTCTAACCCGACTTGGTCCAACACTCAATGTTAATCTGACATTCACTTGTTTTTATATGCCAATGAATTTTATTCAATTTGCTTGTCAATATTTACGTGAAGATATTACAAAAGGACTTCCAGATTACAAAGCCAAAGCATTCAGACAAATCATCCGAGATCTTCTTAGTATGCTCATCATCATCATTCTTTTGATTTATTGAAAACAAATTTCTTTTCTTTTGTTAGTTGAAACTGAACATACTACTCGAAATATTCGTTATAAGCTTCATGGATTCGGTCGTCCTGCTAATAAGTTGGGGTTTACTCCTCGTGAGACTAATGAAGAAACATCAGATGTAGCGTCAACCTTACAGGAAATTACTGTTGAGAAGTATTTTGAACAAAAATACAACATCAAATTGAAATATCCAGATTTACCCTGTATCGATGCACGAAGTGGATCAACGAAAAGAGCGAATTATCTACCGATGGAAGTGATCAAAGTTAGTTCTTTGTCATTGAATCTATCAAGAGGCAATTCTACGTCGATTTTTAGGTCGTCGAATGGCAACGGGCATTGAAACCGTTAGATACAACTCAAAGAGCTCGTATCACCAACAAATCTATTATCAAACCAGATCAACGATATAAGGAAATCATGAATATCATGGATTTCCGTGACTTCGAAAAAGATCCTTATCTAAAACAATTAAATATTCATGTTGATAAGAGAGAAATGCTGCAAATCAAAGGTATTCATCTATTAGAAATTGATTTTGATTATAAATTGTCATTGATCATTTGTTTTTCAGCACGAATTCTTAATCCACCAGAAATTCGATTTCGTCAAGGTCAAGGTCAAAATGAAATTGTCGAATCTGTTAACATCGGCAAATGGAGAATCGGTCGAAACCGATTCCATCGAGCACCGGAAATTAAAAGTTGGGGTTTGATCTATTATGGCCATCATCCAAATAAACAGATGAATAAAACTATCAATGATTTCGCTAATCAATTACCTGAAGTAAGACCGTTCGATCTTTGCTCGATCCATTCTTCTATTGATACTGTTTCAGTTGTTGAGACGCAAAGGATTTATCATTCGACCAGACTTGAAATTAGTTCCAATCATCGAGACATCCAATATTGAAAACTCCTTGACCGAAGGAAGCGAAAAAGGTTGGCAATTGGCTATTGTCATTCTCAATACGAATGCTAGTCAAAGCTATAATGATGTCAAACAAATTGGTCATCAGAAATTAGGCTTACGAACACAATGTATCGATTGGAAAACATTGTGTATAAATATGGATAAACTGCATATGTGTAAGTTAATAATGACTTCACATTCCGTAAATTGACTGGACTCTTATAGATGTGGAAAATCTTAGTCAAAAGATCAACGTCAAATTGGGTGGAATCAACAGCATCGTCTGTACGAAATTAGCTTTGACTCGATCATCTCAAAACGATCTCTTTATGTTCTTTGGAGCAGATGTAAGTATTTCATCTTGAATCAGAATAGAGAAATATCGTTGTTTAGGTCACGCATTCCACTTCGTCGACTGACCGTCCATCGGTAGCAGCAGTGGTCGCTTCTCGTGAACTGACTAGTAGTCTCTATGCTGCTCGATTTTGTGAACGTAAGTTGTTGATTATTGTCCCACATTCTGATCATATTTATTGTTTTGTTTCTCCTACAGAATATCCAAAGAAAGGTCGCTGTTCAATTGAAATTATTAAAGAACTAGACAAAATGGTGGAAGATTTACTTCGAGTCTTTGCTGGAACATGTAACGGATATCTACCGAATAAAATCGTCTTTTATCGTGATGGTGTTGATGAAGGCCATTTCGAAAAAGTCCTTGGCAATGAAGTGAACAAAATCAAAGAGGCTTGTCGAAGTAAATTTTTATCATGTTGATGAACGAAATGAACCTATGGAGGTTTTAGGAGTTTATGGAAATCGTCCGTTGCCATCACTAACTTTTATCGTGGTGAAAAAGCGTCACAATACCCGTTTCTTTCTCTATGAGAACGGACAAACGTTGAACGTTCAACCGGGTACGGTAGTCGATCAAGACATCACTCATCCGTCTCAGTTCGACTTTTATTTGTGTTCACAAGCAGCGCTGTAAGTTTTCTTCTGCCTCCATTTCTGTTTGATTGATTTGGGATGATTCGATTTAGAATGGGCACCGCACGTCCTACACTCTATCATGTTCTTCACGATGATAATAAATTCAGTAGTGACGATATTCAACAATTAACCTATTGGGTAAGTCGAGATCTCTTTCATTGTTTGCCAGAGACAAAATGATGATTGATTTTAGCTATGTCACACCGATATGCGTTGTACAAAATCTGTGTCGATTCCTGCACCAGTTTATTACGCTCATTTGGCTGCCTATGGATCGCGATCGCTTGACTTCGACGCGAATCATCCAACACCAAAGTAAAGAATATTCGATAGGTCATTTTCATTAATGATTGGAGATTTTCTAGTGATGAAAATGATAACGATGATAATGACGATGAAGATGTCGAGGATGAAGATGATCCAACAAGTTATTCTCTTGAAGATATCAAAACCAAAGTGATGACTTTCGATCCGAAAGTGGCTAATGATATGTGGTTTATCTAAAGACTTTTCTCCTTCGATCGACATTTTCTCAAAAAATTTTCAATTTCTTTTTCTGTAAATATAATTCCTTTGACATTTTCATCAGATGTCTTCCTGAATAAATGAGTTTTAATTGAACAATTTTTATTTCAAAGGGTGTGGGTGTGGGTGTATGTGGTTGTGAGCGTGAGACTTCTCTCAACCAGGGCTGCCAACCGTACCCCATTTTGGGGTACAATACCCCATTTCGTCATTTTGTACCCCAGAAAATTTTGTACCCCTGGGGTACACTTTTTGTACCCCATTTAGATATTTGAGCTTTTATTTCTATAAACAAGTCTTTGAATCAAAATCAACTATATTTTCGATACACCTTACATCATCTTTCTAGAGACATTTGCATAGAATAATATTGATAAATAGTTGAGAAAGGCAAATTAGCAAACATTTTATTCATTTAGTTTTCTCTTAACCTTTTCTGTTTCGCGAGATTGATTTCAATCCCAAAATCCAAATAAAGTTTGACGNGAAGTGTGGGTGTAGATAAGAGTATGCCCGTCCGGATGTTGGTGTGTGGGTATGCGTGGTGAATGTGGGTGTGAAGAAGTCAAAGAGAGTCAGTTCACATACATCCACACTCTAGACGCACACCGAAATCCACCCCCACACTCCACACCCCACACCCACACTCCACACCCCACACCCTCACCCACACCCTCACCCTCACCCACACCCACACACTCAAGTGACACGGCTGATCAGAAATTGTGGCTTTGGAAAATGAAGAGTTTATATTCATATGATGTAGATTTACAATAATGATCAGAGCCGTCTATTTTCATTGGAAACATTTTCAGAACAATTTTTAATGAGTACATGAATCACTATAGGCCACGCAAGATTTTAAATGATTATCTATAGTATTTTTGAAGTTCTCTGTCCGATTTGTATGTCGATGAAATCGTCATGGGCGATGATGAATGCGGTCATATACGTGTACAAAAGTTTTGTCGCATGATCTATTTTTGAATGCTTCGAGCAGTTGTAAACCATTTTTGCCGCCGAGTAGGATGTGGGTGGGTGCGTGTGTGGGTGTGGGTGAGGGTGAGGGTGTGGGTGAGGGTGTGGGGTGTGGAGTGTGGGTGTGGATTTCGGTGTGCGTCTAGAGTGTGGATGTATGTGAACTGACTCTCTTTGACTTCTTCACACCCACATTCACCACGCATACCCACACACCAACATCCGGACGGGCATACTCTTATCTACACCCACACTTCTGGATTGTGGCAACACATGTTTAAGTACCTACCAATGGTCCGTGTGTGGAATCAGCACGACGGTCGATTTGATACATTGATGCAATTGAGTATTCGTGTGGATGTGGGTGTGGATCTGCCTTTCTCTACCAATTATAAGCATACCCACGCCTACTCTTCAAAATAGACGAGAGCATCCAGTTGTCGGTACCGATTTCAATTCTGATTTCATGCGGGCGGTTGTTGTCACACTCATACCCCAAACAAAACTCAAACCCGAAGCAGCACTCTTCTGTGAACCGGCGAAGACATATTCATTTTTCGTCGAAATGGAGAGAGCGAGAGAGAAAGCAACAGCAACAATGTGAGCGCGAATAAAAGAAAGGAATACTAATGTATACTCCTTCCATATAATAAACACTCAATTTATTTTGAATTTTGTCAAAAGCAACGATGCACACTCGAACGAGGCAAGTCTGTTAAGTATCAAAATAACACATTCCCGACAGTAAACAAAAAGTTTCAAACTCTCTTTCTCTCTACAAAGTAAGTGGATAAAGCAAATTCCAATTCTCACTGTTTATTCTAATTCATTATTTATTCGGACATCCCTTTTAAGTATCAAGTATTGCATCTGGCCGAGTAAGCTGCTCAGATATATTCAAGACTTGGGTGAAGTATGTAGATGCCGATGATTCGCAAGTTCTGAAGCAGAGCATTCTTTTTTTCATATCACAAGGAAAAGAATTTAAACGTTTCGAGGCTTTTTCTAATCCAACTCTTACCGAAATCTTGACAAAACGCAGCTTATTCATTTGCACGGTGTAGGAATGCATCGAATCCTGAAGCTTAGTCCGACTAGGTTTAGGTTTCAACAGGTATCAGATTTCAATTTGACTGCGTGAGTGTTCGATGAAACTCTGACAAAGATTCTACACATTCAGTATCGAAACTCGTCAAAATCTATCGAGCCTAGACGCCAGTTTTATTCAGAGTTATTTTGTGCCATCGGATTCTGTGGATGCGGATGTGGATATGATGCAAGTCAATACCCACATCAACACTCACACATCACACCCACCCACACCCAGTATTGAATATTATTTGAATGATAGAAAAAAAATAGATAATTACAATAGTATTTGGATAGTGGTTCATAAAAAGAAATCCAATACTGGCATCGGTATTCATGATTCGTTATTTTAATTTTTATAGCGGAGAAGAGAACAAGAGATTCTAATAAATAAGATTTTTCAACAAAGTAAGTATGTCGTTCAGAGTCGTCTCTGTGCATGAGTACTGATCATGTACGTGTTCAGAAAGCCATCCAAATTCTATTACATTGAAAGAAACATTTTGTTGAAGTACTCAACATTTTTTGATATATACTGGTACCACAAAACTCTTCTGGATAGCTTGTGTGCAATACGTTATGTGAAACATGCTACCGAAATCAAATTTCATTTCAAATTTTCCAAAGAAAGATAAAGAAAACGATCAATACTTTATCAAATTAGTAGCAAAGTTGATGATTGCTAAGAAAAAACTATATTGAAAAGAGTATCTTGTAGCGATGGTACAACAGTAGAACATTTAGTTATAATCCATGTGTTCATGGCTTATGAATTTTTTTTATTTTGATACATTACTTCCAGAACTGAACCATGAAAGATTGCTGTCAAGCATTAGGTTATTGATGGCACGTTTATTTCAATGAAAGTCATGAAATTATAAAATTATTTATTCGATGAGTAGAAACCAAATAAGAAAAAAAGGGTTTCTGGACATAAATATATATTCTTCTTCTCGTTAAATTCATAGGTTAACTGTTTTCAAATAAGAACTATGTCAAAGACATCATTTATAAGAAGGACTGTAGAAAGAAAATGTTACTATTTCATGACAGGACTATTTCTAACCTTTAAAAATGCAGTCAATGCCTAGATTTTTTAAATTTGCTCTAGCAAATCATTTGATAAAGGAAAATGTGTAAAGAATATTTATTACTGGATTTTTAAAGTTTTACAAAATAAATCTATCTCGCTAATAGGATAAAGAGGATGCATATATTTAGGAGAAAGTTGTGATATAATATATGCATAGCCAATAACCTACTTTCGCCTCGGTAGTATAATGGTATTACATCCGGTTGTGGTCCGGATAAAGCAGGTTCGATTCCTGCCCGTGGCATATGAATTTTTGTTTTGATATGAATCATTCTGTAAAAGACGCAAACACAGTTTTTTGAAGGATGAAAATGTTATGTGATCACAATAATAGTACAATAGGAATTCATAAACAGAGAAAAAATCATAAAATTATTTTTCAAACTGGAAGAAAAAACTCACAACCAAAGAACAAGTCATGATACATCAAAATCAAGTTTTGTTTTTAACTGAATAGCACAAGTGAGATTGTGTCGAAAAAGATATAAAAAAATTGAATGCTTCCTAAATTAAGTAATTAGAAATATTTTTCTATCAGTTTGCTTTTTAGAGAGGTTTCTTCACTGTAGTATTAAATCCAATTGTGGCTCAGACAACGCGAATTCCCTTCTAGCCTATAATGAATGAACATTTTGTTTGAAGTAAACTATCAATAAACAATTGATAATACCAAATCAATCGCTGTCTTTCATATGTAGAATAGTTCTCATACACAATCAGTCTCCATACTGTGCGCGTTTTTTGCTGTGACAAAAATCCTTACTTTGGTTCACTAAGTTTTAGAGAACGTTGAGTGTCTAAAAGACCATTCAAACTATGTCAAGTGAATCCAGGTCTCGACATTTTAATATGAGTTTTCGTGCAGCTTCAGTAAATTTGAAAAAACGATAATTTTTACCATTTATCCTTCATTTTGTACTGGAGATAAATAAAAGTGAAGAACCAGTCTCCGGTCAACTGTGATGAACAGAAGAAATAATGAACACTTTTGATAATACAGGAGTGACTCTAGATGAAATTGTTTCTTTTTGTGTTTTTATGTTTCTTGAAACTTCATTGTCGAAAATCGAGATAATTTTGCATGACAATTATGTTGTTT